GTACCAATAAATAGCACTATTCAGGTAAAGTGATCATTACCAAATGTGTAAAATTTTAAGTTGAAAGAAAAAAAGAATGAAAAGAAAAGCAAAAAGTTGAGCAGTTGTTGCAGTAAGGCATTGCTGAAGTTAGAAGGACTCATAATGTAGTGGGTCTATGGCCTAGGCCATGGCCATAGACAACTCTTTTCATTTATTACTAGTGTAACTAATATAGCACACGAAATATACAGACAAGAGTGCATTTGTTCAAACTAATAAGGTAAAGATGATTGTATCAGTTATGAAGTAATCCTTATCACTCCATTTGATTCATTATATATATATATATATATATATGTGTGTGTATGTGTATGTATATGTGTGTGTATATGTATGTGTGCACATGTATGTGGTGTATGTGACCTGTTATACACTTGATAATCCCACATAGAAGAAATTCTATCATTTGCATTTTTAGATGACTATTTTGTGCTAAATGAATAAATTACATTCTGATAACGACAATTGGAGGATGACATTCTGGTTTTGATTGAATACATCGTTACATCACAAGGGGACATTGTCACTTATTGGAAAATAAGTTGCTGAAGAAATTTTGCTCCTACATTATTTTGATTCTGTTGAGAGATTAATGATCGATTTATATGACCTTGAAGAAATGTTATCATTATGCGGATATACAAATAAATGATACTATATTATGATCAGCTGATTTGTTTGCGGAAAATGACAAACAATTACATTATCATCACACCAACAAGCAAAAACCATATGTGACAAACCATATGACAAAAATCGTATGATATCATTGATAAACAATAGTATCTATCATTATTCGTATTTTTATCAATAATGCATATCAGTTATGATTTGGCTAAAAAAATTGACCACTCATATGGAACCAGTTATAATGGATTGGATTGTAAAGAGAACCGGATGACAATAATTGATGACCAACAAGTGTAGATGAACCATTGAAATCCATTTTTTCGCTTAGTTAAATCAAAAGCTTACACATGTGACAGTATCAATCAATAACAGGATTGGCAACCTTCGCATGAACAGTTGCTTTCCGTACTTCAATATGAGGAGAAACGTATGTGAATGCATCACCTGATATTTATGTTAATTTCTGGCAATGAATCATTAGTGGAGCACCTGATATTTATGGAGCACCTGATATTTATGTTAATTTCTGGGAAATGAATCAATTGTGGTCATACAACAATCAAATCCTCACCTATACTGAAAATTGTTGTTTATTGGACTTTTAATTGATATATTCCTGAGATATTTGCAAATATCTATAATTTATTCGAAGGGTCAATTTTTCCTATCGAAAATTTCATTGCATGTTCAGAATGTCATAATAGTGAAAAAGGGGACATTTAATTAATCCATCGGTTGTAACTAGTGTAGGTACGGTATGTAATTGTTTTTGCTTCATTAGTGACCATATTTTATGGAAAAATTGTCAAATAAAATTCCGGAATCAAATTGATGTTTCAGAATTTAGATGATCAACATTTCTGAGCATTGAATAAAATGAAACCAGAATATAGGAATAGGAATTATTGAACAATTAACTAATAGCTGATAGTTTTAAATATGCTAATGTATCAAAATGAAAATGAAAAGAGGAAACTCAACCAATTCATTTCATTTAGGTTAATTAATATAAGTTATAATCTAAAGTAATGAAAAAGTTTCATCTAAAACCACCTGTGCATAAATAAAAAAATTGCGCTTATAATCAGAGGACAAGGATGACATATATTTCAAGAAGATAATGTATATACATTTGTACATTGATACTAGATGCATGTTAGTATTATGATTAGAATAGGGCAAAAGTAGTTTGATAATAGTGTAAATGTATTGATAAATGATAATGAAAGAAATCAAATTTAACAAATTTGTTAAAAAAATCTTTCAATACTTTGAGGAAAATTCAACATATCATCCTAAAATCACAAACATCAAAATCATAACCCATAACAATCAATTATAATATTTTTGGATGTATATTTATTCAAAAATTATTGCTTAAATATTAATGTTAAATGTTTTCTTTTTATGTTAAAATATAGGAAGAAGTATTCAAAATTTTATGTGACAAGCGTTCTATGGATGGGACAACTTAAATATCAGATATAATTAATTCAAAAATTCATATAAAAGAGCTATATGATATTATTTTTAATGGATCTAATCCATCCGATGGTTAAACTACTCTAATTTGTTTTCCAAATTTGCAAATAGCTAAAGAAGTTAGAAATCTGAAATTATAAATTACAATCAAAGTTCGAAGAAAGCTGAATTCTATTAAGTGAATATGGAAAAATTCAGAACAGAGTAAGCTATATTTGTTAACAGTGTTCTTTCTTGTGTCTCATGAACTCATAATTGAAGTAATGAGTTAAAAAACACAATTAAAATAAAGTAATTATAGGCTTAGGAACTGCTCATTGTTTTAACAGGTACTGAAATTGTTAGATGATCTGAACAGTAATTATCATAGAGAGAAGAGTAGATAACGGACAGAAATGATTATCAGATTATCATCAAAATTTATTGATACATTTGGCTGTATGCTTCAAATACTCTAGTTGATCTATTTCAGTAAATTTTCAAAATCACTAAAAAATTCGATGTTTTAGACAGATAGAAAATGAAATTATTGCAGATTTGCTAGAGATTTAGTTCTTTCGCATTCCTAGAAAGCGCAAAATCTGATATATTCCCGGGACATCTCATGAGGAATGTAAACTTTCATAGCATAACAAATCACAATGCTGATATATTCCCGGGATATCTCATGAGGAATGTGAACTTTTATAGCATAACAAATCACAATGCTGATATAGCTGATAGCAAGAAAATCAATTTTAATTTTTTCAAAAATTTCTGTTAAATTGTATGATAGCAAAATTAAGCTCGACTAACTTTACTAAAACTTAACAAGCAAATCTGGCCAAGTAGTTGAAGCCAATAGTTGATTCAAGTAGACGATACTACATTAATCAAGAATTGTGGATTATACATTTTTGCATAAAATTAGAATTAAAATTAGAGAAGCGGGAGTTTTTAGATGCATTGTAGGAATAGGAGCAAAAAAAAAACCCTGACATGTGGTGAGGAATTTGTTGCCAGCATAATATTTACTCCGTAAAAGTTCGTTTTAGAATAAAAACTTCAGGTAAAAAGTTGATTTGTTGACGTTTAAACAAGCAAATCCAAGCAAACCTCTTACAAATGTGGAGGTCAAATTCGGGAAAAAAAAAATTTCCGACAAGATTAGAATGGTTACGGAAAATGGACAAAAAAGCAATTAGGGAATGGCGAAAATGATTGTTTTTAATTTCAGTGCATTCTACAAATTTTGGTGTCGTCTAATGCTTTGTCACAAAAAAATAATTAATTGAAGTAGTATATTCTTATGCAAATCTAATTTGCAATTAGAATACATGTTTGATGCAATCTTTCATACATATACCATAATCTGACTACAAATTAAGCAATGACTCGAAAGTTTCGCACCAACAGCATATCACTATAATCTTTGCTCATCAACTTACAAAGATGACAGAAACAAATGACCCAAAAGTTTGTCACCTAACTACTTAATTGCTTCATTCATTTACATATCCAACAGTGACAAAACTGGAATTTTTTTTTAAAAAAAAGACAAATACGAAATTACTGTGGAATGGCCGAATGATAATTTGCATAAAACAAGCGAGTGTATTACCAATTCATTTATGAGTATTTAAACAATTAACGCATAACAAAACTGATATTTTTTTGTTTTTATCATCTGAACGAGGGTTGACACATAAATTACTGATAAGTGAGAAATCACATTTGTTGAGGGAAAAAAAATCACATCAAACCTGTACCGATAGATTAATTGAAGGGAAGTATACATTTAAATTTGTCACCATAACAGTAAGAATTTTCGGTATAAAGAAATGAAATAGCATGAGTTATGATCGCTTGAAACAATATTATCAATTATCATTTCACAAATCAAAAAGATAGCAGCTTAATAGAAAGGGCAAATGAGTGGAACCTGCTATATTTGTGAATGGTCACTTAATGGTCAGTGCTTTTAAAATTTATTACTATACACAAAGTTACATTGATATTTTGCATAATATATAAGGAATGAATGCATATTATGTTTAAAAAAATGTATGTATATTATGTCTGACATTGTTCTGAATTTAGCTTAGTGACCAATCTTACTTTTGAAATGTTTCTTACAATTACTTTGCCCAACTTTTCGAATTTCGAAATTACTGTAGCAAAGTTACTCAAAGATTACTATGTTTCGGTGTCAATTCAGTAGCGCTTTTTAAACGTTTACATACTAATGCTAGAATTTGAATTTTGAATATCGTTCCAAAATATGGAAGAATTGCATTCAAACGAGTAAATCTGTAGCTCACTTACAACTATGAATCATTGAACGCCATATTTTCAAACAGATTAATTAATTAATACCAAGAATTTAAACACTAATTTTAAAATGGACGAAAAAGGATTAGTAGTAAAATAAAATAATATATTTTGCAATAATACATATCGTGACATGTAATTCGCGTGATGACACGTGACAGATCACTCAACCAATTTAATTTAAGAGCAAATACTATCGAATATTTCAAAACATTGAAAAGTGAAAGTTGATTGATAAGATATACACATATATTCCATTCATTTTTATACATTACCTTTCTCATTCTTCAAAAAGATCTACAGTGAAAAAAAAAGTGAAAGGCAATTCTAGTTCATTTTGAAATTAACAAAAGTTAGTGAACTATTATTTCCTAGTTCCAATTGATATTTAGAGAAGACAGATTAATTTCGAATATATGAAATTTAAAGATTTTATGATCATCTTGACATGATTCCCAATATCTTTCATAATTAGGAAAATGTTTTTTCAAAAATAAATCATTTTCCATCAATTATTGTTCAAAATAAGCGATAATGTCTAGAAAAAAAAACGATGAAAAATGAATTTAATTAAAATTTGGTATATTAACTATGCAATTGGCATGCCAATACGTTAATGGTGAAATAATATCTTGTCGATTTTCCCATATTTTTGTTAACGGATCATATTGCAAAATGGTCATCGAACAACGTGGATAGTAATGTATCAAACGTTGCATGTCACCCATCGTTCGTGGCATATCAGTTCGATTCATCATTATCCTAAATTATGATTTATTTTGTAATACATTAACTACTAAGAAATATTATTAGAACTCACGTAAAATAATTAATAATTAAAATTTAAAAAAAAAAATCAATCAATAATTTGTTTATAAACATAGTAACATTGTCACATTAATAAAAGTTATTTGTTAATCAAACTAAGCTGCTATTTTATTAAAATTCATTAAAATTCATTGTAGCCTTTTTTTTTATTCAAGTATTATTACATCTATCTACATCTTATGCTTTCAATTTTATTGCCAACTTTCATTTGTTGATGAAAAAATAATTTGAATGAAACAGTTAACAAGCATTTTATAAAGAATGGTACAAAGCTAATATCACTGTACTAACTTCTGGATATCGTTACAATTAGAAATAGAGTATCAAATGATGAGATCATCCGACTTAAAAAAGATGAAATGCTTTCATTCAACTCTATGTTGAAAGTATAAAAATGACTAATTTCAACGATGAAAATTGCTTAAAAAATTAAGCTTATAAAAAAACTGAACCTATATAAGGCATCGAGCATTGGTGCATGAGATATGATCAAGATACCACCTTCTTGCTTTCGTCCAGATAAAATCCTATTTACCACTTTTTTCACCCTCATTTGTATATCACTAGGCCTTAGTTCCTAAACATGACATTATGAAAATTTTTGATATAAATTTTATTTAAAGTAATCTTTGTAAAATTACAATACCAAATTTAATAATTTCCAAAGGTCAAGGTTCATCCCGTTTAAACAATATTATTTGCAGATACATTTATATATTTCAAGTGATTTTTTTTTCTTTACAATTCATCAAAGACAAAATATTTATGCGTAAATCAATTGTTAATAGCTATGGAAATGTAATTCACTCGTTCAATTGAAGATTTAAGATCGTTGACTGACATAACTGGTACGTAATCCTCGTCAAACATGTACCCATTTGCTCGAAGATCTTGTAAGTTGAGAAATTTTGGGACCTAAAAAGAAACTAAAGGATTAATTTTGGAAACAAACTTTTGCTTATAATTCTGATGCTAAATATGCCTAATATAATGGATAGTAATATGAAATGAATGATCAAAATGAAATGGCAATGATAGTAATGTAATGCTAAAATTGTTAGAAAAATTCTTAAACAACCTTTCCAACAAAGCTGAGTGGTTCGTAAAGTGCGGGTTCGATCCGTAACCTAAGTGGTTCGCGATAATTCAACGTTGATATGATGGCAATAGCTGTCTGATTAGAACAAGAAATCAAAATATGATTTTGACTAAGTACGTATAACACATTATAGGATAAGATATAGTATTGGAAAATTTTTGGTGCATTACTTTTTTAAAGAGAAGAAGAATTAACGATACTGTAAAAAAATCATTGATTTTAACTTGAAAAATTGATTGAATCAAACCTGTAAACATCTAAGTGAGGGTGAGGTGTAAATAGTATGAATGTGAAAGTTTCTTTCAGACAATGAACGACCAACAAGCTCAGCACTACCACGTCCAATCTGCGTTAATGGTGGATCATCTACATAACTTTCAGAACCACCACATCGTGTAACGGTCACTATTGCCTGATTTTTGTCCATCTGTAACGATACATGGGATACATTGCAGTTTTATATTGGATTGTATAAAATTTTTCAAACAAATTGAAAAGATTGTGTTTCAAAGTATCCGATCATCTACATGAATAGGTATTACTGGTCACTTTCTAACCTTACCTTTGCAAGTTTATTGTGATTCTGGAATGCGCCATTGTTACGTAGACCACCAAAGTCAGCGGGTTCACCATTTCTGACCAGAAAAATTCGCCTCGTTGTGTCTTTCTGAAGTAGTAAAAAAAACAAAAACAAAAAAAGAAATTTCTGCATTCATTTTGAACAAAAATTTGCACGTTTAAACCGCGTGACCTTGTATCAGCAATGCGCGTGACCTTATATCAGCAATGCTAAACACAAGTATTGTGTAACTTTATGCTGCATGTGTGCCTTTCAGTTAGTGCTACTATTATGATTAGTAGTAGTAGTAAATAACATTAGCATGAATTACGACGGATAAGTTTTCTTTTTTATTTTATATCATAAAATGAACCAACCATATAGGCATGCTAACAGATTTAATGAATATTTCACAGTTAAAAGCTAATACAAAATATGCTTAAATTGTTGTGCAATGTGGAACATTTTTTTTTCTGTCTCTCTCAATAGGCGGTAATGTTCATCTAAAAGACATTTTCAAATCCATCTTTAAGAATCTTTTCATGTTTTTTGTTGAAAAGACAAACCATCCTATCTATTCTAACTTTATAGTCATATATTTTAATCATTTCTAAAATTCTAACTGCAAATTAGTTTTAATTAAAGTGTGGTAAGATTGCAAGAAGTAAACAATATAAAAGTATATATCAAGTTTATGTAAATGGTAAGTAAACAAATCTGTTGAGAATATATATGAATGAGCTGTGTGTGACATGAAGAAAAGTAAAGGACCTCTCTGATGACGGATGCACCTATGTGTGACATGAAGGAAAGTAAAGGACCTCTCTGATGAAGGATGCACCTATGTGTGACATGAAGGAAAGTAAAGGACCTCTCTGACGAAGGGTGCATTAAATAAATCATTTGTAACTGATTTAATAATTGGCAGAAATTTCTTTATCAATTTTTTCTATTTATAGATAATTACGCATCCATAAAATTAATGTCAAGAGAAATGAGAAAATAAGAATAATGAAAGATCGTTAATATTTTTCCGGATCAACCGGAAATATCAATCTCTAAGTAGGCTTGATGAATCGGAATCATATATACTTCGCTATAAAGATTGCAAAAGGACTGATTAACTGCTTGACTGTTAGATATTCGGCGCTTTCAAAGAAAGCTTTCCTAATGGAAAATCCATTTATCGTTAGTGTACGATAGTGCGAGTAAAACGGAAGGAAAACTGGCGTGAATTAGGCATGCAAAACAATTAGCTTCATTTAAGGGTTAAAGGTTAACTAAATGATCAAGTAAAAATGCAATCCATCAGGTAGGAATATAGCTGATTATCAAGAGGCAGATATAATCAATAAACGGTGCTATGAATACGATAACTCTAGTTGTAAAATAAACAATAACTAATTTCGCACCCGGTTTAACGGATAGAAGTTCAAGCGCTGAATGACCGGTGGTCACTGCGCTACACTTTGAATTAATAAGTTTTGAAATAGTGACACAAGGTGTTACCTTCCAAGTTCGTTTTTGCTTTGTCCTGAAATCATTCAATTTACAATTTTTTCCTCTTTTTAAATTTCAAAATGGATTTCTGCTTCTAAAACAGCAAGTGAACGACTTTTTTTTAACATATTTTAAAATTGAAATTCATTATGAAATCTTAAAAGTGTCAAATTATACAGTGAAACAGCAAAATTGTCTCAAATATGTCAGAAAATGGAACAATTAACGATAACATTACTCAGCCAAATCATTCAAATTACAGGCCTATTTAAGGAAAGGACTGTCATTTAGAGTATTACACCTGAAAGCCTGATAGTCGAAGTCATCCATTAAACCATTTCCCAATCATAAACGGAAGAAGAGGGAATATATACATACACACATACATACATACATTCATGCGTACACACATACATACATGCATGCATGCATACATACATACACACACATACAAACGCATTTTCTCCCCTGCAGGAATGCAACCGGAACGGAGCAAAAGGGAAAATAGACCGGAGTGTAAGATGGAATTCCATTCAGACTGTGTGAGTCACAGTAATCTCATTTTGGTTTTATATGTTTAACTTAGAGTAAATGATCGAAGAGATTGATTGATCACGAGATGATGATCTGAGAGACTCCGGTTTCCCGGTGGATACCATAAAAATATGATGGCGGGGAAGTTAAGTATGGGAAAAAACTAATGCATTCAATTACTGTAAAGTACCTCCTTCAAGTTCTTTTCTTCTTATTATTCGGCAAAAGAGCAAAAGTAATGAGTGATAGGAGTTCATTTAGAATCTGTATGATAAGGAACATCAATGGACAACGTGTATTTGGTGTGATATTCTCTCTCTCTCTCTCTCTCTCTCTC